TATTAGTAGTATCGAATTTAACTGTTATCACACAACGAGCAGTTTTTTTATTACCACCACTACTGAATATATAGATATATATACGCTAAAGACACACACTCTCTCTCTCTCACTTACACATGCACACACATACACACATACACACGCATATATATATATATATATATACTTATTATTGTAACCGTTTACTTGTCTTAAGTAAAGCATTATCTATTTTCTGATACTTATCGCCCATCTATATGAATATATATAGAAACACATTTATACAATTCTTGTATATATATATATATATATATATATATATATATATATATATATATATATATAGAGAGAGAGAGAGAGAGAGAGAGAGAGAGAGACGGCGTGGTGTGTATGGAGGTGTGGTTTCCATAGAGTTTTTTTTTTTTTTTTAATATTAATATTACTCCTGTCATTTCCAAAGAAATTGAATAGCGAAACAGAATATAACTGGCATTGACTGCGTTGAAGAAAATCGAACTGGTGTGAGTGGAATTAATTTACTAGAAGCGAAAGTGTGGAGAAGGCTATACAGGGAAGTTCAAATTTATGCGCGTACCCGTAATGTAATTTCGGATTCTTATTCGTCCTTCCGACACAAAACATTCGTATATTCCTTACAATGTTATGACAGCTTTGACTTCATGTTATTAAATGATTTTTCCCCCAAAAAATACCCAATGTTACTATATATGAGGCACGGTGGATAGCGGCTTGGATTGAGGAATCGGAGAGTCAGCTGAATCCATCCATTACATTCACTTACGTGTTAATACCCTTGGAATAGGTATGAATCCTCTTCTTCTCCCTCCATCTATCGATAAATAGCAGGAAAAACTGGGTTCTATAGCCTAGGATGGCAACTGGTCAAAAACATGTGGAAGGTCATTTGCGGACGTAGTGCACGAGGTCTCTGCATTCGGGCCTTCAAAAAGTGTGGATGGTTCATCACAAAACCTTCACCACTTGAAGGTTCTGCTTGTTCCTCATGCGTCGAATTCGACGGGAGAGTCGAGTATACCTACATATATATATATATATATATATATATATATATATATATATATATATATATGTTAGAACGTTCGAATGGGCAGAATGAGTCGTCTAATGTTATCGGACTGACGGGGTTGATCACAGCGTTTGGCATCTTTGGAAAGTGCCTAAAACCATATCACGGGTTGACCCAAGCCTTGTGAGTGAAGCTGCGTAGACGGAACCCTTGGGAGCCGTCGATAGCCATGCTAGCACGAAGTCACAACTCATCGGGGCCGAGGTCTTGAGCGTGCTTGCATTGTTCAAATTGTTGATTACGCCAACTCGCTCTATCCCAGAAACTGTAACTAAGGTCTACTCAGCATAGATACAGTATAAACCACAGGTTGGCTCTGTGGATGTTGAATAAACAGAAATGCGCCTGAGCAAGGGTCTGTAATACGGATTGGCTAGCCACCTAGGTAGACGGGTATCCTCGAATACGATTCGCCAGCTATACATACATATACATGTTTCTATGTGTGCGTGTGTGGGTGTGCATACGTATATAGATCCGGCCCGCGAATGCATTTTGACCGGCCCGCGAGCCTGATTACCAATGACTCTATTTTTAACATGAGAGACGACCTTCAAATGAAATTTGTTATGTGTCATTTTCCATAGAATGTCTACACATCTCAGTGCACTAAAAATATTAGACTGCCAGTTATCTTTCATGAGACTTATTTTACCAAGTTGCGTTGCCTACGTTTAATGTCAAATAATGGATACATATTTGTTATGACCCTTGGCTACATTAAAAGATAACAGAAGCGAAAGGAACGATAAACTGAAAGAGGCCAGGGAGAGACTGACATGCGAGGTAGCAGAAATCTAAAGACAGTTAAACATACGTGCATTATACATACATGCCTCATGAATGTGTGGATGATACCGCATGTGTACGTACGTAAGTGTATATGTTTGCAACTATTTGTACTCGTATGTATGGGTATATGTGCTTCGTTTATTGTTTGATGTTTGTGTGTGTGTGTGGTTCGTTTGTGGAACAATTTTCAATAACAGTTTCAAACCTACACGTCATAATTTCATCCATTTCACTTCGGTTGATTTTTTTCACTTTGAAGTATTTTGTCGTTCCTTGAGGAAAAGTAATTTTTCTTAGGTGTTTTTTAATTTTAGATTTTCTTTTGTTTTTCTGATTTCTCAATGTTTATTTTCATTATGGTTTTATATATTTAGGTTGACAGGGGGTCTGCATATGTAATTTTCTTTAATTTTTCATTAATGTCCTTCGTACGGCCCGCTACCCGTCATTTATAACACGATCTGGCCCGCGGGGTCGAATAAGTTGCCGCCCCCTGGTTATACATATAAAAATCTTTATTTCCGATGCCACGCTGTATCGCCTACTTTTTTCTCTATGTCCCGCCTCTCTTTAGTACATAGGCGATCATGGCTCGCCACAACTTCTTATCCCTTGTGGCCCAGAACAGATGTTCCCATTAAAGGATTATAATGCCCGCCCACGAGAAAAAAATTCTTAAAGTCTAAAATATATTTTCTAGCTTTAAATAATCTGTTTGATAAGCCGTTATAAACGAATCAAATTTATTCGATGCAGTTCTTTGTTACAGATTGTGTAGCGCCAGATCACGATATTTATCTATTTTACACATTAATATATATATATATATATATATATTGAACAATGAAGTCAAGATTTAGAAGCAACAGACTGTTTCATGCTAAACGCAATCATCAGTCCTATCTCTGATATTGGGTACTTTATTCCATAAATATAGCATACCTTAAACTATATTTAGTAAGACTTGTATCATTAAAGCGTTGTAATGCTCCCCCAGACACAAAAAAATTTAAAGTCTAAAAATATTTTCTGGATTTAAATAATCTGCAAATGTTTGATAAGCCTTTGTAAACGAATCAAAGTTATACGATACAGTTATTCCTACTGATTGTGTAGCCCCAGATCATGATATATATACATTTTAGTCATTAATATATACACAGACAGACACACACACACACACACACACACACATATATATATATATATATATATATATATATATATATATATATATGTGTATAAAAGTGAACATTGAATCCAACACTCAGAGGCAACAGACTGTTTCATGCTGAACGCAATGAACAGGCCTAACTCTGTGCGTTTTGTTTTTAATTTTTTTTTTTTTTTGTAATTGCTTATAAAACAACGTAATATACCAAACCACGATAAAATCACCAGATAATGAAGAAAAAGTATACATAGGAGTAACTGAAGGACCCTGGAAACAAAGAAATTACGCACACAAAACATTTTTCATAAATAGTAAATAAGCGAACAGCACAATGCTTTCTAAGTATATCTGGGAAATTAAAAACAAAAGGCACATCATACCAAAAATATATTGGAAAATAAGGAAAAAATCATCAGCCTACAACAACCAATCCAAAACTTGCAAACATTACTTGTAGGAAAAAATAGCTATCATTACCTTCCCAGACCAAAATAAATTATTAAATAAACGATCCGAGCTCATCTCAAAATGCAGACATAAAAACGAATTTTTACTACGTTACTTAAAAATCGACACCTAATAAAATTAAATAAGTAATTAAATAAACAAAATGACAATAAAATAACTAAAATAAATTAACCCAAACAAATTATCAAATCACACCCGTTAGAATAGACGAAATAAAATAAATAAATAAAAAATAAAAAACAAAATCAATGAACCCAACAAATAAAGTAAATGATAAACAAATTAACAAACCATTATGACCAAAATATGAGTTAGACTATAAAAATCAAACCAAAAATGGGACGAAAAGCATAGCTATAACTGTTACATAACGATAAAAATAATACGTTACTTAAAAATCGAAAACCGAAAAGAGTAAATAAAAATATACAGTATAATAAATAAATAAAAAAACAAGTAAAATAAATTAATCTAAATTAATCCAAAAAATAAATAATCAAACCGATTCTGATAAATTAACCGTTAGAAAAATCAATTAAAGATAATCAATCCAAAGAAATAAAGGAAGTAATGAACAAATTAAGAACTGCTCCCATTAAAATAATAGTTAGAATAAACTACAGCAATCAAACCCAAAATTGAATAAATAGTTTTAATTATCTTCCCAAACCAAAACAATTAAATAAGCGATACAAACAATTTTTACTACGTTAATAAAAACACCGATTAAAATAAAAATAAATAAATATTTAAGATAAATAAAAATAAAAAATAAAAATGAATAAAAATGAGCAAAATGTTAACCCGAATATATAAATAAATAAACGACTTCCGGTAAAAAAAACCGTTAAAATAGTCTACCCACAATGCACCACTGACCCGTATATATAAATAGCCGAGAAAAAAAAACAACAGCCGTTACCTGACGATTGCATCTAGCATGAAACAGTCTGTCGCCTCTAAGTGTTGACTTCAATGTTTAAAGCACCTTTGGAAAGTTTCTGAAAACCATACCACGAGTTGACCCAGTTAAGGTGAGAAAAGCATTGAATTATACAGTGTATACACAAAATATGCCACAAAAGCATCAAATCTGTTATTGAATATAAACTTCTGGTAAGCCCTCACACCATAACTATTAACATATGATATATTATTAAATATTATTAAATATTATTACATATTATTATTATATATATTTATTATACGTATAATAAAGAAAATAGCAGGGCCTGCAAATCGGAACGCAAATGCTACACGTAAAGCAATTGTGAAATGAAAAGCGTCAAATGCGATTTGTGCCGAAGAAAGATTATCTCAGCTTCATTGCTTTTTGGGACAATGAGATCTTGATACCCAAATGCGTGAACTCTGACCTGCGTAATGTTATTACTGTGGAATTATTTGGGGGGGGATTTTTTTTATTCTTGGAAGTTGAACTAGAGAGAATATGCTGTTATCAGGACGAAAAACAAAATGGACGAATCGAGTTCAGAATTTCCTATTTGGTCGTATTGCATTCGGGTAAAGCAGATATCTATTCTTTGTTACCCCAACGCTGCCCATGGTCTTAGTAATATGGAAGCCTCGTCCAGCAAGGCCTGTGTCGCAGCCAATGTGATAATTGTGGTTTTAAAACCAGAAAAAAAGGCAACAGGAAACGAGTCGACTTTTTTCCTAACAATTGATATTGACCACTTTATCCCATAAATATAGCACACTTTATATATATATATATATATATATATATATATATATATATATATATATATATATATATATATATATATATAAAAGGATGCACGGTGAAGTAATGGATGGCGGCTTGGATTGAGGAATCGGGGAGCCGAGTTCGAATTCAGTCAATTTCACTTACGTGCTAATACCCTTGGGAAAGTTGTGAATCCTCGTCTTCTCCCTCCAGCTATGGGTAAATACGTCTGGGTTCTATAGCCTTGGATGCCAATTGATCTAGGAGAAGGACAACTCTGAATTCAAACCCGGAGTGGATCCCCTAAGGCGGATGGACGGCACTTTGTGCTACCTTCCGGCAACTCCTGCAGGCGCGCTGGTACCAAACTGTATTGGTTTATCCTCTCCTTTGGACTCTGCTAGCAAGGCTGAGAGGGGGAACTGGGCGGCCCTAGTTCTCCATACATCCCGCCCAGGCTCGGTATATAAATATGAAGACGATATATAAATATGTATTTATGTATATATATATTAAGTATATTAACAGTATTAAATAACATTTACCGGCCTGAATGTCCGAGAAATTTTCATAGAAAATATTCGTCCTCTGACAGGATTCGAAGAATGTTATATAATACTGTTTATTATAAACAGAGCATTTACTTAAATACTTGTATCTATAAAAAAGAACGTTAAACATAAAAATGTCTTTAGTAAATTGTCGGACTTTGTCCATTTCTTAATATATGACGTCATTTGTTTACATTTGATACGCCATGAGCAGTTATGAATGTACGAGATGCATGGAAGATTGAAGTTTATAAGCAGTAAATTTGCCCTTGCCAACCGAACGATCCCTGGTGACCGAGCTGTCAAGGCAATAAATGACGATTCCGTATAGGATGTTAGCTCGAATCCTGTCAAAAGACGAAAATTTTTTATGAATTTTTTATTAAATGTTATTTAATACTGTTTATTATAAACAGAGCATTTACTTAAATACTTGTATCTATAAAAAGAACGTTAAACATAAAATGTCTTTAATAAATTATGTGTGTGTATATATAGACATAAAAATCGATTCAAAGACATTACGTTGAATAATATCAACAAGTTCTATATTTGCAAATTAGTTGTTTTATACTTTTTGATTATAATTTTCTTTCTGGATTAGTTCTTAGTAAAGATCATTTTTCCCGAGTGCTTTCAAATGTTTGTATATTCGTTTTCAAGAATATTGTTTTTTATCTGTTCAAGTAACTAGTGTGTGTGTGTGTGTGTGTGTGTGTGTGTGTGTGTGTGTGTGTGTGTGTGTGTGTGACGTCATTTACAATCGTCAAACTGATTTTTACGTGTTTTTGTTTTATGGGCACACTTCAACATACGAATTATGCCTTCTCCGCGAGGAATCGATCTGACGGGCTATACCTTGCAGCAACAGAGACGCGTCGGGTAAGCAATGTCCAAATTACTCGATTGATCATATCTGCTCACGAAAATCCATACTTTCTACAAAAATTTCACGAACATTTAGGCCAGTAAAAGTAATTAAGAGTGTTTAACTAAAACCAGAGCATTTACTTAAATAAATTGTATCTATAAAATAATATATATATATTATATATATATATATATATATATATATATATATATATATATATATATATATATTTATATATTTAAAAGAAAATAAAGACCACTTTAAAAGGTACCATTATAATAATTTATTTCACCAGTGTCCTTTTAAAAGGACACTGGATCATCAGATAGCACTTCCAAAAATTAAATGAAACGAAAAATGAAATTGAAATTGATGGGTAGTGTAAGTTTTTGTAATTTAACAGAGAGTGTAAAGGGGATAGTTAAACATTTTTGGAAGTGCTATCTGATGATCCGTCGTCCTTTAAAAGGGCTCTGGTGAAATAAATTATTATAATGGTACCTTAAAGTGGTCTGTTTTTTATTAAATATTAGCTCTGGACTTACATTGAGCTCTCAGGATTTCATCCTCCTTGGAATTACCCATACGGTTTACCAAGTTCTTTAAATATATATATATATATATATATATATATATATATATGAAGAAATATAGTCTTAAGGTGTTCTATATTAATGGGATAAAGTGCTCAATATCAGAGATAGAGCGTGTGTAAATATCAAAGTGAACATAAGTCCAAGAGGCGACAGTCTGTTTCATGCTATATGGCCTGACGATTACATATAGCATGAAACAGACTTTTCGCCTATAAGTGTTGACTTCTATGTTCACTTTTATATATATATATATATATATATATATATATATATATATATGATAGGAATCTAGGATGATTCACTTTATTAAAGCTTCGTCAGAGATAAGGACAGAAATGATAAAAATGTTTAAAAGCAAAGAGAAATATATTAATTGTATGTTGTTCGAGGCTATTTCATTGCCTAGATACGAGTCAGGTGCATTGAAATCACAGATAATATTTAAACATGTGTGGCAAATATTCACGACGCTAAAGTATGTAAAAGTTTGTAAGATACAGTGGAAGTTTGATTGGATACGAGTCACGTATAAGGAAGTGACAGATAATATTCATATATATTCAAGCTTGTAACTGACAGACACTATAAAATATTGATCCACCACACCTCTCTCTCTCCCTCTCTCCCCCTCTCTCTCTCTCTCGCAATCTGTATATTTATCTCTCTATATGTAAATGCTATATCTCCAATATTACGCAATCTTCTATAAATATAGCAAATTCAAAACAGCAAAATCATATAGCAATGCGATCTTCAGACAAATCCATATAAAAGAGAAGTGGATATGAAACTGGAAAATATGGCTTGCGCTGACAATTTCACTAAAGATTGAAATTGTCAATCCCCATCTAGTGTTGATTCATATATCTACACTCTATACCTATAAAATAGCAAATTTTAATACATATATATATATATATATATATATATATATATATATATATATATATATATGAAGAAAAAATATACGGAAAAACAAACAAAAATCCTAATATGCAATTCTGCTGTTTTTAATATTAATATAATGTCAACGTCAGACGTTTCGGTCTATTCAACCATCTTCAGGACATATGTTGAATAAAACATAATTAACGTTAGACTATATTCAATTGAACATGAAAAGAGGATGGACATGTTGAATGGAATATGTCTGATGTTGACATTATATTCATTAAAACAGCAGAATTGCATATTGGGGATTTTGTTTGTTTTTCCGTATATTTTTCTTCATACTATCGGATATATGTCCATATATTTTTATATACCTATATATATATATATATATATATATATATATATATATATATATATATATATATATATATATATACAGTGTAACCCGGATATAAGAGACTAGGATATAAGACAAATCCGGATATAAGAGATTTTCTCTGGTCCCAAATTAGAGCCTGTGTTAATGTATATAAAATAGACCAAACCCGGATATAAGAGAAACCTGGATATAAGAGACTTCTTCTCCGGTCCCAACAACTCTCTTATATCCGGGTTTACTATATATATATATATATATATATATATATATATATATATCAAAATTAGACAAAAATATCTGCAAATACTAAAGTGCAAATGTATTCAATAAATCACTATTGGCTTCAACCAAAGCCTCCACACCATTTCGGAATCTCCTGCAACTCTTCTGGACGTTCTCTACGTATAAGATGGTGAATGCTACCATAGTCGTTTCTTTAGTTCATCTTTGGTCTTAGATATAATAATCAAGTGGGGTGAAGTCTGGAGTATTAAGGGGCCTGATGTAAGTGGTTATGTGGTCGACGAAATCATCTGACAGATATGACTGGGTTTTCTAGTATTGTGTCACTTTAGGAAGAGTCCTGTTACCAGAAATAGGATGTTTCAACAGTCACCCTCGTGACCCAGAGCAGCACTACCTTTTCACTGCACCTGATGCAGATCTCCGTGTTGAGTCTAAGGCACTGTGGAATAATGAATGGAAGCATAACATCGCCATTACTAGTGATCACTTCAAACACTTTCGTAATCACCATTAGATTCATCCAAATATTTCCAGATTTTCAAAATCTCTGAAATGTTCGTATTGGAGATTCCGGCGCGAATGCCAAGCAGTACAGCATGCTGTTTTCAAATTTCTTTCGGAGTAAATTGCGTCATTGTTCTCTTTTACTCACATACGGTGCCCAACTGAACCCACTACATTAAACATCCGACAAAATCAAAAAACAAAGAACGCGCATGCGTGAAATCAAAAATATAATATGGTGACATTTTACTGTTGCACTCTGTATATATATATATATATATATATATATATATATATATATATATATAATATTATATTTATAATATATAATATAAATATAATATATATATAATATAATATATATATAATATAATATATATATATAATATATATATATATAATATATATCATATATAAATATAATATATATATATATAAATATAAATATAGGTAAATATACTCGTTTTGAAAAACATTCGAATTTTTGATTTGCCAATAATCAAATCAATCTCGAAGGAAAAAAAGGTTTTAAAAAAAGAAAGAGCTAGAAACATGAAAGTCTGTCGAAAAAAATCGCACAGATACAGGTTTGAAGCCCAAAGAAAAAACCCCGATACGAGTAAACAACTAACAAAAGAGCTCAATACAACCGTAGAGCAGACCTAGATACACCTAGTGAGCCAGAGAAACCTACCCATCGTCGGGGAAAGCTGGCTCTCTCTGACGATCCGCTTAGGTGAAACCTGGGTAGGTTTGTCTGGCTCATTAGGTTTATCTATCTATCTATCTATCTATCTATCTATCTATCTATCTATCTATATATATATATATATATATATGAAGAAATATAGTCTTAAGGTGTGCTATATTTATGGGATAAAGTGCTCAATATCAGAGATAGAGCGTGTGTAAATATAAAAGTGAACATAGAAATCAACACTTAGAGGCGACAGACTGTTTCATGCTAGATGCAATCGTCAGGCCTGAACATGAAACAGACTGTCGCCTCTAAGTGTTGACTTCTATGTTCACTTATATATATATATATATATATATATAAGTGAACATATATATATGTGTGTGTGTGTGTGTGCGTGTGTGTGTGTGTTCGCCTCTTGACATTAACTGTCTATTTAATCTAAAAAAATATTGGTTGGTTGAAGGGTTAGTCAAGCCGTAGCAAATCAAATGAAAACTGCCCATTAAAGAAAGAAAAGGAAACGTATGTTTTGAGAATAATAATAATAAAAAAAAGAACGAAAAACGAGCAGAAATTTGTGTTAATTTATGAGCATATGAAATAGATTAAATATTGAACGATTTTTTGGGGGGGAAGGCTGTTTTGAACGAAATGACGAAGAGCCTTTCATGAAATCGGAAAATTCAAAGCCAAAATAACTAACGTTTTTCCGTTGATTGTTCGGGTTTCTAATCAGAAAAGATATCATTAACCGAAATGAGAAATATTCTTCGCTTTACAGAGGAACCTCGGTACTCGAACGTCTCAAATGTCCAACAAATCGGGTTTCGAACAGAAAATTCTAGATGAAAATACGTCGGTTATCGAACAAAATATTCTTTCTCGAACGACATAGCTGAACCGAGGTAATACGAACGGAATAATTTCGGAGTTTTTGTATAAATCCGTGTGTTGTGCCGTGCTTTTCTTTTCTAATTTTATTGTACTGTCATCTTCCGCTTTGAATTTAGACACCCCAACCTTACCCTGACTTAACCTCTTTGAATGTAACTGAGATATTGATACAAATTATAAATCCTTACGCCCCCTTTTTTTTTAAACAATTGCTCTATCCGTTACCATAGTAACTTTAATTTTAATAATGAATATGCTTATAAAAACGCGTAAATTTCAAGAATTAGTTATTTCAAAAAAAATTTCGCTAGAAGATGGAACAGTCCTTGGTATTTTAATCCAATTTAATTCAAATAATTATATTGAATTTTTCGGCTCTTGTTTTGAAACATGAGAACTCTTATGTAGCGATGGAATCATATTTTTAAATAAATAATTATATATATATATATATATATATATATATATATATATATATATATATATATATATATATGGAAGAGATTAAATACGACAAATATTTTAATATATTTTCCCTTATACGGTATTTTAATGGAAACACCTTATTTGAGTAAATCCTCAAAATTAGGTTTAGTTTTTCGGAAGAGAAATGATATATTGGGAAAAATCATCAAAGATGTGTCTTTATAAGCCGTAATTTGGATTTTATATATATATATATATATATATATATATATATATATATATATATATATATGTGTGTGTGTGTGTGTGTGTGTGTGTGATCTTTTCATTTAAAAAATATTTTACATCTCTACATAAAAATTTCTGTTTCGTAAATTAAATTGTTCCATCATCTGGCAATGTTACCTAACTTATGATGAAAATGACGTCTTTTGATTGGTTAACCAAGACACACCCACAAAGTTTTGAAATCCTGTTTCCCTCTATTTTAACTCTTAAATAACCTATAGTATTGTGTTCTGCCTTCAAAAGTAAATGAGAATTAAATGAGAAAAACAAATGCTTTATTTTTCTGACTGAAAGGGAAACCACTCATACAATTCCCGTACAATTCATTTCTGTTCTGTGATTTATGAGGAGGAATAACTTTGAATCTATCTTTTGTGATGAAACTGCATGAATCTTTTTACATTTCTTTCATCTTTTGACGCTTTCAGTTTTCTTTCGTCATGTTTCCATCTGGGACAATATAATATCATTCTTTTTTATTAAATTACAGAATTTGAATCAAAATGTAATAATAACCTACTTAAACATATCACACCCCTCATCTATCTATCTATCTGTCTGTCTGTCTGTCTGTCTGTCTCTCTCTCTCTCTCTCTCTCTCTCTCTCTCTCTCTCTCTGTATATATACAGGGGTTGGACAGAATAATTGGAACACTTGTTAAAATTTATTTAATATGGAGTTGGTCCTCCTTTAGCCTCACAGACAGCTTTAATACGTCTAGGAATGGAATCATACAGCTTCCTGACTTCATCCAGAGGAATTTTCAGTCATTCTTCCATTAAAACCTTCTCCAGCTCTTTACGACACGACGGTGGAGGATAGCGGCTCCTAACTTGTTGTTCCAAAATGCACCACAAATGTACAATAATATTGATATCTGGAGATTGGGGAGGCCACTAGCTCACTTTCATGCTCTTCATACCAATTCTTAACCACTCGAGCGGTATGTATTGGAGCATTATCGTCTTGAAAGATGCAATCACCATCAGGGAATAAAGTCTTGTCCATTGGATGAAGATGATCTCCCAAAATGTTCAGGTAATCTTTGCTGTTGATTCTACCATGCAGGGCCGAGGCATTTCCATGATATGGCGGCCCAAACTATCACTGATCCACCTCCATGCTTCACTGTTGGAAGAAGGCAGTCAGGGTTGTAAGCTTCTTTGGGCTGCCTCCACATATAAACTCGCCCTGAAGTTGGGAAAAGAGAAACACTAGACTTCTTCGAGAATATGACTTGCTTCCATTAGACTGCAGACCAGGCATTGTGATCTCTGCACCACTTCAACCTCTTTTGAATGTTGCGAGTGGAGAGAAGAGGTTTCCTCACAGCGGCACGTACATGATATGGAGCCTTATGGAGCTCCCGGTGAACAGTGTTAGTAGAAACTAAACTATTCAGATGGTTATTCAACTCGGCATTTGTCCGATGATTTTTTGTATGATATATGTAAAGATGTTCTACCCCCCCCCCATATTAATTCTGTTATTTAACATTTCAAATGTAGTTGTGGATGCGACTACATAGGTAGAACGACACAGCGGTTGGACGTTAGAATTAAACAACACGTACCTGCTATAATACTGAACAAAAAATTCCTTTGGGCGATACCATTCGTAACACGTATGGTTCTTCGATTGCGGATCACTTTATAAAGAATCCCACTTGTGCGATGGATTTCAGTGTGAACTGGTTTTCCGTTTTGGCCAGTTCGAACTCATTATTCCATCTTAAGGTGTTGGAGACGCTGTACATCAGGTCCAAGCAACCTGCTCTTTGTAAACAAAAAGATTGTTTGCTTGGATTTGCTGTACTGCGCTTCTAGCATCTTGGTTGGTATAATTTTATAATAATTATTTTTCTCCTGTCCACTCATTCATGTCATCCATGACAGACTTTTTTTTTTTCCTCATAATTTTAGTTCCCCGTTAACAGTTCTGATGAGAGGGACGAAACCGGTTGACTGGTGTGTGTTTTGTTTTAAATCTATCATGGCCTACAATATAAAATTTCTTGCTTTTAATGCCTTAAATATATATATATATATATATATATATATATATATATATATATATATATATATATATATATATATAAAAAGGTAAGGTTTAATCTATCACCTTCTCTCGTCTGTTACCCCTCTCTTTAGCTCTAACATTCGACCCACGCTCTCGTATTTACACTCTCTCTAAATTCTATTTTTACTTCCGGAGTTGTGTTTTTTTCTGTTTTTTTTTTAATTTTTAGGTCTGATGAATTGGATCATATTTACGATTCCAATGGAATAAATTATGACCATGGAATATTAGTGTTTAAGCCTTTTTATTATATCCTTACTCTTTCCTGGACATTGAGTTCTACCTGGATTCTATCCTCTTGGAATCTTTTTATTCAAAAAATATATATGTATATGTGTATGCACCTATGTATATATATTTATATATTTTGCATATGTATGTGTATATTTACCACTAATATTAGCTATATATATATATATATATATATATATATATATATATATATATATATAGATAGAGAGAGAGAGAGAGAGAGAGATAGAGAGAAAGAGAGAGAGAGAGAGAGAGCTGTCTGTGTGTTTTATGTTTGTGTGTAATTGTGTATATGCGTGTGGACGTGGTCGGTTTTACTCATCTAAATCATTTAACCTCCACTTCACGTCTAAATTTTCCCTTTTGAAAATGATATATCATATTTTAGAGTCGTCATTGAAAAAAGAAACACGAAATGAAATTTTCTGCTTATTGTACTTGACCTTCATGCCTGGAACTAACTGAAAAATGGGAGGCTCTGAAGTCTGGTGTGTTTCTGGAAATTTCGGAAATAGGATAAAAAAAATAGCACTTATTTTAAAATTGGTAAACTCTTGATATTTGTTTTTCCTTCCTATTTGTGCTTTTCGCATTTTTTTCTGTGTCTGGAGACAAGACCAGTCAAAAATAAGGTTTTGCGTAGTGAAAGAACATATTTCCCTATTCACGTCTTTTTTTCCTGAGGTGTTGTATTTCGCTATTTCAATTTTCAGTGGTTAAACTCTGATCTAAAAGATTTATAAATTCCAGTTAATAATGTTTACAGGTTGCAAGATTAGTGACTCTGGCAATTAGGGTAGGCAAAACGAAGTCTATAAAATGGTTTCCTATAAATGAAACATAAATGCTCTCATCAAGAAAAGAAAAAAAATCATAAACTCCTGTTCCAAAGATCTACGGTAACAGCAACTCTTTTGACCGCCACACAACTTTATTAAAACATATTGTAATAATTGTTTTATTTTATTATTATTATTTTTTATCTCTTAATCTGGGTAATTTTAAATGTTTATAAAACATATCTTCGTTGGCAGAGTTAATACTAATTCTATAACTTATAGATGAAGGTATGTGTTTTATTCTAGATGTGGGATGATTAGACTTCTGATGGATATATAATGGATTAGTATTTGTTTTCTTATACGGCTGGTATATATTGTTGATTAAATCTAATGTTACATTGAGGAAGTTTAACTTTTTAAAATTTGTATTGATAGTAATTTTTAAGTTTAGGCTTTTAATCTCTCTGTGTATTAGTTTTCTAATTTTGTCACAAGCATAAGGCCATCATCCCTGTATAATACTTTATCATCCATACTGATGTCATAGTGGGCAGTAAGATTGTATAAAATAAACAATCAAACCGAATCGGAAGGCCACGCAGCATCCAATGATCCCATTGTAATATCAAAATGGTCTCCAGAGTTATTTTAAATCCACTGTTCATTGTTATGAATAAGAACTGATTTATGCATTGATAATGGCGTTACATTCATCCTTCGATAGATACGAACGCACAGTTACAAATTCTAGTGCAGATATAAAAGGTTCTCTTGAAATTGACGGGTAATATTCCTCAATATCAAACTGGATAAGGGAATAATAGGGTTTATCTTTTCTATTAAAAAACCAAACTCTAGCTTCTAACCGACGTTTTTTCACATTACTGTTTTAGCTTTGACCTTTCTTTTAAATTGTCAAACACGATGCCCATAAAATTTTGAAATCTTATTCCTCCGCATTCTTAAATCTTCAATAAAATAGCATTCTGTTTTCAAAAGTAAATCATTTTCATCACTAGTTACCAAACATCGCTTGATAATGGAGCAAATTTAAAGTCCCGAAACATATAAATTTCGTGTCGGGATGTAAAATATTTTTTAAATAAAAATATTAAAATATATTATGATCTACGTATGTTTATTAGCAATATATATATATATATATATATATATATATATATATATATATATATATATATGTGTGTGTGTGTGTGTGTGTGTGTGTGTGTAATTACAGGTAATCCATATGGAATTTCCTAGAGGATATAGATCCGTTAAGAGCTCTATGACAAAAGACAGATCCAAAATTATTATATAATGAGAGAAACAATTAAAAATATTTTATTTCATTCAAACCGATAAAACATGGCTTCAAATCCTCAGACCTGTAAACCAAAATAATATATATATATATTGTTAATATATATATATATATATATATATATATGTGTGTGTGTGTGTGTGTGTGTGTGTGTGTGTGAGCATGTGAAAAGTCTGTGTATATAGATATAAATATATACATATATATATATATAATTATTTATATATTATATGCGCAGTAATTATTAGAAAGCGCTCAATATCAGAGATAGAGCTAACATATTTGGTTGGATTGATGTGAGTTTGTGACCCGGGGTTTCAGGCTTTTTGCGATCGTCAGACAAACTGATAATTTTTTTTTTTAAATTTAGAGTTTATGTAGATTGCGTGTATTGGTGTTATTATGGAAGTATATTCCATCTTAAGGTGTTGGAGACGCTGTACATCAGGTCCAGGCAACCTGCTCTTTGTAAACAAAAAGATTGTTTGCTTGGATTTGCTGTACTGCGCTTCTAGCATCTTGGTTGGTATAATTTTTATAATAATTATTTTTCTCCCTGTCCGCTCATTCATGTCATCCATGACAGACTTTTTCTTTTTTTTCCTCATAATTTTAGTTCCCCGTTAACAGTTCTGATGAGAGGGGACGAAACCGGTCGACTGGTGTGTGTTTTGTTTTAAATCTATCATGGCCTACAATATAACTTTTTTTTGTTTTTAATGCCTTAATACGCTTTTGTACCGTTTCAAACATATTTAAATATATATATATATATATATATATATATATATATATATATATATATATATATATATATATATTAGTCTAATCCTAACATTAAAGCATTGAATAATTATTCTAACCAAAGTTATAACCAAAGTTCGTTGTCGAGTTTTTTGAATTCTCCTCATTCAAGCTTATGTAACAGCGTTTCCCCTAGCGAGGGGGGTTTGATTGATTTGAACCTCTTAATATCCTATATTCTTCATTCAATACCATCACATTCGAACCCCCTGAAGAAGGCCGGAGCGTACTACGGCCGAAACGTTGTAATAACTATGGCGATAAAAATGAGGACAATAGTCCGAATAATGTAAATAGTCACCCCAAGTAAGTCAATAAAGCCACTACGTCACAAGGAGTACTGAGATGAAAGAATAAGAAAACGAAATAAAATACTAAA